AGCTAATATAATATAATTGTATATAATATGTTGCCCATAATTAGATTATACATAGGAAATAAAATATTTCCTAACACTTAAATGTTTAAACAAATGCTTTTTCATTCAAAATCAACCTGTTCATTAAGCTTCTTCACCCTCCACGGCCAATTTTATTGAAAACTGCATATATGAACAATGTGTTTCTACTATGAACGCATGAAAGTATCGTAGGAACGAATAGATTACGACTGGACGCAACAACAAAATATGTAGCATCGATCGACAACTTTCAATTCATTTTTTCTGGTATATGCATAATGCATTTGCAATGTTATATGCAGATCATTATCTCACCTGCTTATTTTAATGCTCGTAAAAAACGACACTTTAACCCTTGTACTGATGTTGCTTCCATATAATCGGGCAATTCTGCATTCGTATGCTATTATGCTTTCATATTGCAATCATATTTGGATATGAATGGTTTTCGTGGGAATATATTTTTTGTGTGTGGTGTTCAGAACAAACCTTTATCATTATGTACTACGATACGAAAACGAGGGGTTTATGTTTTTCTGTGAATCAAATTACATCTCTCTTTCAATGCTATTATGTCGTTTAATAACGTGGAAGAATCAATGTAAAAGTGAGAACGTGTTTTAATAAGATCATCTCGTTTACTCTGCTCTAAAGAAGAGTTGATGTCTCATCCCCAACTATTTACTCTATATGAAATATTCTCTTGTTATTCGTTTTATTTTTGATTAATTTAAACTTCCATATTATCTAATGAAATTTTTATTATATAATGAAGAAATTTTAATTAGATAAAATATTATTATTTCGTAAATAGTGTGCAAGTACTATCCAATTGTATAAAAAAAACATAGGACGATTCAAATAAATTTAGGCAGTAGGCATTTACATAATAGCGTTAGATAACAAAAATAAACAAGAAAAAAAAACGAGTACAACTGCTATACATCTTAATTATTGTCAAAATTAGAATATTCTTCCCACAAATGATCAATTAGTGCATTACAAAGTGCAAGATATGCTTCTCGGTCTCTAATTTGTCTTGTATCGAGTAATGAACGTTTGAAATTGAGAATATACAGTACCCACAATTTCAATAACAGAAGTTGGGGTCTTTCTTGTAGCTTCAATCGGTGCATCAAGTTCTCGTTCATCCTCAATTATCATATTATGCATGATATTGCCTGCAACCATTATATCTTGTAAGTCGTCTTTGCTTCAAAATCTGGCAAGGTTGGTAACAATAGCAAATTGACTTTGCAAGACACCAATTGCACGTTCAACATCATTTCTACATGTTTCTTTGTTGTCGGTGCATCAAGATCTCGTTCATCTATCATATTATGCATAATACTGCATGCAATCGTTATATCATGTAAATCGTCTTTGCTTCAAAATCGGGCAGAGTTGGCAACAACAGCAAATCGAGTTTGCAAGACACCAAATGCACGTTCAACATCCTTTCTACATGTTTCTTGTTTCAATGTGGCCAGATCGCCCACAAATTCAATTCTATATCACATGGGTAATATCAATATTGTTGTGAAAATGTTCAAATCTTGTTTGCAACAAATTAAAAATGCTAACACCAGTGAAGCTTTCGAACAAGATGTTGTAAGAAAATCTCATATAATTTAATTATGTTTGAGAAATTAAAAATATTTTAATACTTTTTACTTTCATTGTGTAGAGAGAGCGTGCAAAATTACTATTTATGCAGGACCCTAAAAGTAAAAGCCATTCAAGTATGAGAATGTATGGTCAATTACAGAGACGGCTTTGGGGTAAGGCAGGCCGGGCGGCCGCCTAGGGCCCCACTTACTTCAGGATTCATTATTACTAATTACATATATATATATATATGTATATATATATATATATGTAAAATTTATTTTAATAACAATTTTTTTTTTTTTTGGATTCTTTACTAAATGTATTTAATTGTTTTCTCATTTGACAAATTTCATGAAAAAATTAATTAGTAATTATTAGTAGTAAAATTAAAATATATTACATATTTTATCTTATTCTTTTCATTTTTTTTTTAAATTTTCTCTTTTTTCTTGAATATATAATACTATTTCGTGAGACACAACTAAATAATGTTAAGAGTCAATTGAAATCATCTAATTTTAAGACGAGTTTCAACTTATCGTTGTTATTTAGTTTTTTTAGATATCAAACTAGTAATTTACTTTCCCGATAAAAAATATATTAAATTTTTTTTGAATATTATATATTCTTATAAGTTTAAGATATATATGTAAAAAGAAAAAATTTAGAATTTGAACGTTTATTTTTTGTTTTTAAGAAAGAGTATTTTCTCTCTCCTTTCCATTTTTTATTTACTTATTTTTAAGACATAAACTTAGTTATAATTATATTTTAAATTTTACAATTTTTATCATAGCTAGTAACATTATTTTTTTCAGGAGCTTAAAAAAAAAAACCGAATATAACATTTAGCACATTTCGGGCCTTATAAGGTTGAGAACCGACTCTGGTCAATTATGAAAGATTTCGTGTTGTTTGAGTGCATGCAAGAGAGGCGAAGCACAACAATGTCTCAACTTGGTGGGATCCCTGAGTCCACTATTTCACCGAAAATATTAGTGGCGGTTCATTGTCACGGAGGCCAGAAGGCACTAAAAATTCAATATTAAAGAGAAAAAAGTAGAAGATGTGTGTGTTGTTGTAAGTAAAATAAATGAAGAAAATAAAAAATTTTGAGAATTAATTCTTACCTCGATTGCGAAAAGAGATCACGACAGTGAAATGATAAGACAAGAACTTGAAAATTCAAAAGAAAAAAAAAAGAGTTATAGAGACAGGTTGTCTAGACCACAACATGGACAAAAAAAGAATAAAATTTTAGGATTTGGATTCCATACAATATAGACGTCGGCGTAAATATTTTCTTCAGGAGGAAAAAAAAAAGTACGTAAAAGGAACGACAATCTTCACAGACACCACACTTCTGATGTTTTTGACATATATATTCACGATCTTGATGGATCTGCAAGTGGTTTGGGAGATTACTAGAATTGTTATTTTAAATTAATTATGCATAAATTTTCATGTCATCCTAATTTAAATATGCAATTGTGTTTTGAATGATATATTTCGTTCTTGAGTTGTATTTCTTAACTATGACAAAATTTGTATCTTTTATTTTAATTTTTAATTGATTATAATAAATAAATATAAATAAATTTTAACAACACGTACAAAATTTAATAACAAAAAAAGTGAATTCAATTAATGTATTTAACCAAATAAAAAATTAGACACATTTCATCAAGGTATAAAAAGAAAGAAAGAATAATTAAACAACGTAGAGTAGTGCGAAAGGTGTCGCGCTATATGTAGCGTGACACTGTAGATTTCTTTATTCTAGAGTTGGGATCTAGTGCACCGTGGAGATGAGTTCA